CGACCGACGACGTTGGTCGTGCTCGGTGGCGAACCACGCGTCCTAGTTCGGCAAATCCACCGTGTACGTTGGGTCGTGGCGAAGGTCATCCAGGAGTAGAGCACGACGGTGCTGAATTTCCATCAGCTGTGTGCTACCTGAGTCCGGCACGGTCGGCACCGGAACCCTATCGAGGTTGAGGTGCCACTCGCGCGGCAGGTTCACGTCGGGCTACGACACCGGCACACCATGCTTCCAGAAGTGCTAGCAGTGGTGCACCGACACATAGAGGCAAAAGTGCGACCGCCGACTAAGATGGACTTATCTGTTATCATAAACTAGCCAGTTTCCAATTGTATTGCCCAAAAGCAACAACCTAGTCACCTATATAATGTACACTTGTAACCGTTAGATAAATTGTACAGAAGACCAAACAAAGGAGATTCAACAAGGCCATGGAACAATTCACATGCTCCAACCATAGGTCGAGTGGATGATCCTAATGATCAGTGAATGATCCTAATGATAAGCGGCTTGTGAGATGATGTTGCCCCTCTGATGATTGGTGATGTCTGTGCTAGAGCTTGCTTACCGCCCAGCAAGGTAAGAAGTGATGGCTGCAAACGTATTAGAGTATATAGTTCATGAAACCTCTATCTATCAGAGAAAAACAACTCAGTTGAGCCAAAACCAGAGCACCAATCGAAGGGCATGACTGGACGCCATCCTTACTAGCGTCCAGGCCTGGACGCCATCCATACTAGCGTCCATCCTGGACGCTGTTATTCCTAACGTCCTTCCTATTTTTAAAATTTCCACCGGCCCTTTATCAGTTTCGGAATTACAGAATTATCATTTACTATTAATAAAAAAATCGGCCGTATATACTTGATGCAACATTTTCTTTGGTTCCGATTGATATGTAGACTGCAGACTGCTATGCAGCTGCCATTGGATGGCGCCCTTAACTAGGCAAGACAAACTAATAAATATTTTTGTATGAAAAACTGAAACACATGTAAATTTGCGAGCACAAAAACTTGAACTTAGTCCTTGATACATGGCACTACTCAAGGTGCTGAATCTATATGTATGTTGCATGCATAGCTTTCGTTAGGCAAAAAAATAGTAACTAAGTAGCTTCTAGTGTATCTGTAGAGCCTTGTCTAATTTTTGAAAGCATTCATTTTCAGCTTCCAATTTCTGCTATTCTCAGAACAAGTCACCGTGGCGGTTTGGGTGGATCTCCCTTGCCGAGTTTGTCTAATCGATGGCAGCCATACTTGAATCGTTGCTTGGATCATGTGCCAGTAAGTTGCAGAATATCATTACAGATGAGGCCATACTAATCCTCGGGGTGGAAGAAGAGCTCAGAGAAGTCCTGCGACGAGTAGAACTGATAAAATGTTGCATATATGATGCTGAGAAAAGGAGGACAAAAGAGCTAGCAGTAAACAATTGGCTTGGCCAACTGAGAGATGTTATATATGATGTTGATGAAATCCTAGATGTGGCTAGATGTAAAGGAAGCAAGCTACTTCCTGATGATCCTTCTTCATCATCAAGCAAATCAGCTGCATGTGCGGGCTTCTCAGTTTCCTCTTGCTTTTGTAACATCTGGTCACGTCATGATGTTGCTGTTCGGATTAGAGGCCTCAACAAAAAGATAGAGAACATTTCAAAGGACAAGATATTCTTAACATTCAACACTAGTACACAACCTGCTGGAAATGGTCCAACATCCAAACTGGTAAGAAGTTCCAACCTCGTTGAGCCCAACCTTGTGGGAAAGGAGATCATACGTTCTAGCAGGAGGTTGGTGGACTTAGTTCATTCACACAAGGAAAATAAGTCTTACAAGCTTGCTATTGTTGGAACCGGGGGAGTTGGTAAGACAACACTAGCTCAAAAGATATACAATGACAACAAAATAAAAGGAAGCTTTAAGATACACGCATGGATTTGTGTGTCACAAGATTACAATCAAGTTACTCTTCTGAAAGAGGTTCTCCGTAATATTGGTGTGCATCATCAGCAAGGTGAAACCATAGCCGAGCTGCAGAGAAAGCTTGCAGAAGCAATCAAGGACAAGAGTTTCTTTCTTGTTCTAGATGATGTGTGGCAGTCAAATGTTGGACAGATTTAATAAGAATTCCAGTAAACGAAGCAGCTGTTGGAGTAATATTGGTAACTACAAGAGATGATCAAATTGCAATGACAATAGGTGTGCAGCATATCCATCGAGTTGATCTCATGTCAGTAGAGGTGGGATGGGAGCTACTTTGGAAAAGCATGAACATTGACGAAGAGAAAGAAGTGCAGAATTTAAGAAACACAGGAATTGAGATTGTTCGTAAATGTGGTCACCTCCCTCTTGCAATCAAGGTTACCGCTAGTGCTTTGGCAAGCAGAGATCTAACGGAGAATGAGTGGAAAAAGTATTTGGGCAAATATGCTGGTTCCCAGAGCATGCTCTTGGATGAAATAGAAGGAGCTTTGTATCTAAGCTATGATGAGTTAAAACATCGTCTGAAGCAGTGTTTCCTTTATTGTGCTTTGTATGCTGAAGATTCTATCATAGAGCGTGCAGAAGTTACCAGGTTATGGATTGCTGAAGGATTCATCGAGGAGCAGCAAGGCCAACTACTAGAAGACGTAGCAGAAGAGTACTACTACGAGCTAATACATCGGAATCTCCTCCAGCCAAATAGGTTCATTTTTGACCAGGTTGAATGCAAAATGCATGACCTCTTAAGACAACTTGCTTGTAATATATCAAGAGAAGAATGTTTTATTGGAGATGTTGAAACTTTAAGGGGTGAAAATATGTCAAAATTGCGACGTGTTACTGCTGTCATTAAGAAGGATACGTTAGTGTTACCTAGACTGGATAAGGTGGAGGTTAAGGTGAGGACTTCCCTAACTGTTAAGGGTCCATGGGGAATTGAGGATACATTGTTCAAGAGATTTCTGCTTCTTCGTGTTTTGGTATTGAATTGCTCACTTGTAGAAAGGATCCCAGGTTATATAGGAAAATTGATACATCTACGTCTACTTAATTTAGATTACACTAAGATAGATTGTCTTCCGGAATCCATTGGATCCCTAAAGCACCTTCAAGTACTGAGCTTGAGATGGTGTCATTATCTGCACAGTCTTCCTTTAGCCATGACCCTGTTGAGCAGTTTGAGATGTCTTGATCTTTATGGCACAAAAATAAATCTGGTACCAAAAGGGATAGGGAAACTGAAGCTCCTCACTTATTTAGAAGATTATCCTGTTGGTGATGGAAGTGATGATGCTCTTGTACAAGATGGATGGAAGTTGGAAGAGTTGTCTTCTTGGTCGCAGATGAGGCATCTTGGCATTGTTAAATTGGAAAGAGCAGCTCATTCTAGTACAAATGCAGTGCTGACGGACAAAAACATCTAAAAGAACTAGTCCTAGAGTGGACTGAACGTGGAGAGGGGTCATATTCAGAAGAAGATGTTAGCAATACTGAGAAGGTATTTGAGCAGCTAATACCTCCAAGCAACCTGGAAGAACTATGTATTTTACGATTCTTCGGTCGGCGGTATCCCACCTGGTTTGGTACCACTTGTTTGTCATCATTAATACACTTGATCCTCAATTATGTACGATCATGTGTACATCTTCCAGCCATTGGGCAACTACCTAACCTGAAATATCTGAAAATAATGGGAGCACATGCAGTTACCAAGGTTGGACCTGAGTTATTTGGTTGCGGGAAGGGTGATCCCATATGCAGTGAGTTAGTTGCTTTCCCTAAACTTGAATGGTTGGTCATCAATGATATGCCCAACTGGAAGGAGTGGTCCTTTTTTGATGAAGTTGTTGCAATGAGAGAGGATGGAGCTGTTGAGATTCAAAAGGAGGATGCCCAATCTGCTGGGTTGCAACTGCTGCCTCTTTTGGTGAAGTTGCAACTCATAGGTTGCCCGCCGAAGCTGAGAGCTCTGCCGCCACAGCTTGGAGAGGTCACTACCAGCTTGAAGGAGATCCTTTTAATTAGAATGAACAAGTTGAAGGTCGTGGAGGACTTCCCACTGCTCTCTGAGCTTCTTACTATTGAGAATTGTGAAGGCCTGAAGAAGGTCTCCAACCTCCCTCAAGTGACAGCGCTGCGTGTAGGTGCCTGTCCAAATTTAAGCCATGTAGAGGGATTGGGCAGTTTGCAGCAGCTAGGGATGGGCGAGGATATGCAAGGGATCTCTACACGCTGGGTCCCTGGGCTTCAAGAGCAACAGCAGCGACTTCATGGCGAAGAACTGGATGTCTACACGTGGAGTTAGATTGCACAAGGTATATATGACACTCCATACTGGTTGGATATTTTTTATTGTATATTTGATTCTCTTAGCAGCCATGATTCAGTTTTCTCCCTCAGTGGACTCGTGCCTAAATTGCATCTTTGTTCAGTTGTGTGCCACTATACATGCTTATGCAACAGAAATACTTAGACCTTTTACTGATTATTCCAGAATTAGTACTTGTCCATTGGCAGACTGCAAGCGTGCAAGTTATTAAGTGTTGTAAAATGTTGCTCTTAAGTTGCTTACATTCTCATAATTATCCAGGTAGAGTTTATAATATTGGCATCTCCATTAACAGATATGAGTAGTAATAGTTGTTGAGGCATTGGTCTCTTATTCAGGCAAACTATACCCCAGTTGTGTATGTGACGTTGTGGAAAAACAACCGAAATTGTAGCTACACTCATGCTTGATCTCAGCATATACGGAATTGTACCAGCTCTTGGTACGTATGTGTTTATGACTTTATGTGCTTGTCAATTGTCATAGTTGCTAATTATTTCGGTGTGTTTCGCTGGCGGCGTAGGACTGATGGCCCGTTCGCTTCGATGGGCAAAGCACCAAACGTACTAAGTTGAGGAAGTCTCTCAATGTTGAAGATGCGCAAGTTCCATGATGGATGTGTAGCGAGCTGGTGAAGGAACAAATTTCTTTGGGCAGGTGCCCTGGAATGTATCGATCGTTGTCTTGTGTGTGGGTATGCTTTCACCTTTTGGATTTAATCCAGAAATTTCGTTTTATTTGTTCCTGAACTTGGGGCCTTTGCTGTACTGAACCTCCATGGCACGGTTGGCGCGATTTTATTCTTTCAATGGAAGTGATGGATTTCCTTTTATTTTGTTTCTGAACTTGGGCGTGAGGCTTTGCCTGTGTAACCTGTACGGCCAAACCTGTGTGAGTGACCTGGTCATGAAGAGCATTTTTGTTACTGTATAAACCTGTGTTGTACGTATTGTGTCGCCAAACTACATTGTCAGAAGGATTGTTCAACTGAAAATCATGAACAAATAATATATATATATATATATATATATATATATATATATATATATATATATATATATGTATGTAGTATTTTTTTGGTTGTTGCAAGAAGTGGTGCACGATGACCGATGCTGCCAAACTGACACAGATGCAGACTGAGCACGGCGACGATGTGCGCAGTGTGGTGAAGGTGGCTGTTGCCGAGAGCTCCGGGAGCACAACCACGGCAGGAGCTCTGGAACTTGGGTGAAGTGCAGAAGGCAACTTCGGCAGAGGCACTCAACTGCATATGGAAGCCGCTATCTGTGGGTATGGTGAAGCATGAATGACGAAGTGCAATAATTATTGTTCCCTGCAACTGAGATGAAAGAAGATTCAATGATATTGCAGAAACTGCGACTACACCATCTTGGCAAAGCAATTAAAATAGTGCAATGCAGACGCAAGAATGAGGATTTGCACCAGCTTTAAGTTGTATCGAACTACCTAGTTGAAAGACTGATCAATTCAATCGGGAGTTCAGACATTCCAGTTGAAATCACTCCTTTGAAAGTCTGAACTTGCATTTAAATTCTGGGGGATGGAACAAATCGGCAGAGGCAACGTGGATAGTGGTGGTCTGCACCCTCTGAGCAAAGTTGTGCAATGTGGAGGGCTGCTAATTACGCTGCTCAAGAGGTTTAAGGATGCAGTCTCCAGGTATTATGATTTCTCAAAGTTAAACTGTAGTCAGGGGTTTTTCAACTGTATCTGTTGCTGATGGTAATCTCAATGATTATTTGGTCACTGAACATTTATCGTGACGTTCGTCGGGGATTAGACCTGCATCTTCCCGCTTCTCTCTAGATTCGTGCTCCACGGCACACTGATCTCAAATTCTCTGTTATCTCACCCTCCTTAGCACCGGCACGACTCCACTGCAATACCCCCCGAGCTCCATGGATCGCTACTCTTAATTTGGTGCCGGATCTGATTCAGAATAATCGAGATGTGGGGAATCAAATCAGTCTGCTTTTCCTGGTAATGTGAGCTACACAAGATTTTTGCAATGCAATTGGAAGATTTCTCTGCGCAAGAAATATTGTACCACTATCTATCTAGATGATGAGGTCAGGTGGGCATATTAGGTACAACAATTTTATATACTCCATCTCCCATTCTGACCGTCCTGTCTGTGTTAGCCTGCTATTTTCTACAGAAGCAGAGGAGGGAGACGACTTTAGCACCTAGTGTTGTGTTGTGTGGGAGGTGATGCTGTGCAGCGATGACTGCAACACCAATGATGCTGTGGGAAGATCCGCACAAAGCCCACGATGTTCCCGTGGGCGAAAATGGTGTTGCATGGTGGCCAATATAACGCCGGCGACGACAGCAGCAGCTGCAACGGCTGGAGCACGAAAAAACCCAATCCAATAGTGTGGAATCTCCGAGAGCACGAACAACCTCCTTCTGTTCCTCTTGGCCGCTCGCCGCCCAACCCCGTCTAGCCGGCAGCGCTGGCGCATACGGGATCCGCGGAGACTCCTCCAGCATGCGGTGGTGGCACACGACCACATGCGGTGGCGGTGGCCGGTGCAGATGGGATCGGAACACTAGCGGCGGCGGAAGACATGTTCGTAACCTAAACTGATATTTGCTCCGTCCGAAAAAGCTTGTCCCTCAAATGGTGTTAGATACGTCCATTTGAGAGACAAGCTTTTTCAAACGGAGGGAGTACCATGTAAACAATTATGCTTTGTGGGAAACTGCACGACACCCTAATGCCGGTGTGGCTCTTTCTATATATAAGGGTACATATTATATAAAACTATAATATACGGATATACACAGAAGCTCTATACAAAATACATTCTAACACGGAAATCATAACACATAAAAAGTACATACTACATATCCTGGGTGTTGCAGGAATCGTGGACGACGAAGACGATGGCAAACTGACACAGCTGCAGAATGAACATGGCACGATGTGTGCAGTGCGGTGAATGTTGTCGTTCCTGAGCTCCAGGAGCACAACCCCGGAGCCTGCGTCGGACTTCTGCAACTTCTGCAACTTCTGCGAAGCGTGGACGGGGATGACAGACGGTGGGGGCCAAGTACGTTTTGAAGCAGCTATGTGCAGAAGTGTGAGCTATGAATGGGCAAGCTCTGTTTCTCTACGGTTGAGCTCAAGAATAGTAAGGGACATTGCAGGAACTATCACTACACGATCTGCCATAGCGATAGTCCGGTCCAATGCAAATTCTCTTCAGTGCTAGTATCTTCTTCTATTCTGAACTCAATTAATTAGTGCAATACAGTGCAGAATTAATGGGTTAAAGGTTTGCTCTCCTTAGCTTAAAAGTATTGATTAATGCTGAACAAAGTTCAGTCAAAAGTTTCTTTTTAGTTCAGTCAAAAGTTTCTTTTTTGAGACAAAAATTCAGTCGAAAGTTCAGGCGACCAGTTTAAAGCAGGCTTCCTGGCTGGCCGTCATCATCAAGGCCATTCCTATATGGAAGCGGCGATAGCGGCTCGCTGGCGGCGGCAATTGTCGTTCGCTGATCCTTGAAACTCGATGTAATTTTTATTATATTTGAGGTGCTTTGTAATTCTGGTTAATCTTTATAATAGATCTAACATTTTTTGAAAAAAAGGAAAGCATGCTTTGAATTTTTGAACATGCAATGCAGATAGTGGTGGTCTGCACCTGCTGAGTAAAGCTTGCCCTTTTTTAATTTCTTTTCCTTTTCTTTTTAGTTCCTTTCTTGGTTTTCTTTATCTTCAGTTCCTTGTTACAAGAAACAGAGAAATGTTTTTGACATATATAAATCCTTTAAAATTGCACACTTTTTAAAAATTACACAAAACTTATTTTGAAAAGGCATTAGCACTTTTTGATTACTTCAATATTTTTTGTAAATACATGAACATTTTTTAAATATATGGAACAATTTTAACATATTTTCAAATATTTTTTTCTCAATAGATGTGAACATTTTTAAAATACATAAGTGAACACTTTCTTATCATTTTTGTGTTTATGTTTTCCTATTTACCTTTTCTCCTTTTTGTGGTTTTTTCTTCTTCTTTTTATGTTCACATTCCTGTTTTTTTATCTCTCTGGGTTTTTAGAGTTTCCCCTTTTCGCAGTGCACATTTTTTTGAACTGCACAAGTATTTTTGAAAAAAACGGAAAATATTTTTAGAATATGATATAAAGATTATTTAAATGCACCACCAATATCTATAGAAAATATGAAACATTTATAACAAACATGAAATATTTTTAATACATTTTGAAATATTTTTAAATACACATTATATGTTTTTAAAATACACTGTGATTATTTCTGAGGCATGATGAATCTTTTTCTAAACACGCTCAACATTTTTTTACAAAAAAAACATTCATAGAACAATATTATTATTATTATACTTGTTTGAAATACGTTAATATTTGTAAAAATATTTGGGCACCTTTTTAAGTATATGGTCATTTAAGAAAAATAAGTGCTCATGTATCTCAATATATATTCTTGTATTTTACAGCTCGCAACAAGTGAGTAATTCCGGAATCCATTGGCTCCCTAAAGAACCTTCAAGTACTAAGCTTGAGACGGTGTGTTTATCTACACAGTCTTCCTTCAGCAATGACCCTGTTGAGCTGTTTAAGATGTCCTGACCTTTTTGACACAAAAGTAAACCAGGTTCCAAAAGGGACAGGGAATCTGAAATTCCTCACCGTTGTAAGAGATTATTCCGCCGGTGATGGAATTGATAGCTAACAGACAAGATGAATGGAAGTTGGAAGAGTTGTCTTCTTAGTTGCATATGAGGTTTATTTTATCTTGTTAAACTGAAAAGAGTGGCTCATTGTAGTACAAATGCAGTGCCGTCAGACAAAAAAAATCTAAAAAACTAGTACTAGACTGAACTGGACGTGGAGACGGATAATATTCAGAAGAAGATATTAGTAATACTGAGAATGTCTTTGAGTAGCTAATACCTCCGCA